TTCGTTCTGCCTGAGCCGGCGTTGTTATTCCGTGGTGCGCTTCATCATCTCAGCTTAAGCTTGTCCAATGTAAAAAGGAGGAGGAGGAGGAGGAGGAGGAGGAGGAGGAGGAGGAGGACGAGGAGGAGGACGAGGCGAGAGGCAGGAGGATGGAGGTGCTCTCTCTGGCTTTCCCCTGGGTTCTTCGTCCCCGAAGCCCGTGTGGGACCTCTATTGCCCGGTTGGTTGGAGGGCTTTCGAACTAAGGACGTTGGACTGGCCGAGAAATCCCCATACTCAGTGGTCACAACTTCCGAGGCTACCTCCAGAAGAGGTCTCACTGCCGCCTGTACGCTGCTGTGCGTTTGGAAATCACCCGTGGCGCTCCTGGTTGCACAGCCGATCCTCCTCGTCCTCATCCTCGTCCTCGTGCTCGTCTTCCTGGTGGAGGGATTGTTGGTGTGGCGGGATGCCCACGATAGTGCCGCCCGCTGAGCTGCTACATTCTGCTTCTCACTTCCATCCTGCTTGCGTCAGACATGTTCACGGGCCCACGACTCGGGGCAAACATCTCTCGACTCGGTAACATCCTCGCCCTCGTGTTCGTCCTCTTCCGCCGCCGCCCCATCTGGGCTCAAAGCCCTCTGCCGCCCGAGCGGGCGCGCGAGTCCTGCGGCAGCCCTCCCCCAGGCGAGGCTCTCTTCCACCTCTCGCCGAGGCCGGGGGGGCCGCACGATGCCCGAGCGCCGTGCCTGCCCGCGCCCCTCCTCGCAGGGGCCGTCCCTGCTCGGCGCTCTGCTCGGCCGAGCCGGGCTTGCGGCGCGGAGCCCTTCCCCGGCCGGCAGGCCGCCCAGGCCGAGCCCCGCGCTGCAGCACCGCAGCCTCGGCCCCGCGGCAAGCGCCGCCGCCCCAGCCGCTTCGCGCCGCCCGGGGGCCGTGGGGCCCCCCGCCGCGCCCTCGGCGGGAGGCTCCCTGCCGCCTCCCGCCACGGCCTTCCGGGTCGGCGACCAGGTGCACCACTGGAGCGAGACGCCCGGGGTCTGGGTGCGCGCCGTGGTCCTCGCGCGGAACGAGCACAACGGCGCGGCCACCTACGACCTCAGCTGCCGGGCGCAGGTCGCCCCGGAGAGGATGCGCCCCTCCGCCAGCTGCCACCACATCGCGGGGGCCCAGGCCCCGCCGCCTGCCGACTGCGGCCAGGCTGAGCGCGCGGGCGCCCCCGCGGCCACCGAGGGGGGCGGCCCCGCCGCGGGGGGACGGCGGCCGCCGCCGGCGCAGGCAACGGCTGCCCAGAGCGAGGGCGGCGGCGACGCGTCGGGCCCGCGGCCGGTACCGGCCCAGCGAGCGGCCGACCCCGGCGAGAGCGGCGCGAGCCCGCGGGCGGCGCCCGCGACGGCGCCAGCGCATGCCAGCGCGGCGGGCACGGTGCGCCACCTCGCCCCGCCGCGGGTGCTGGCTGGGCAGGAGGTGCGGGAGGTGCTCAGCTGGCTGCGCGGCGGGCCGGTGCCCACGAGTGCCTTCGGCGGCAGGGTGCGGGCCGGCGCGGTGGAGGTGGTGCGCTGCCTCGGCCCGCCGCAGGTGCTGGGAGGATCGGCTCGCGGACTCGGCGTGAGCCGGCTCGCTGGGCAAGAGGTGCAGGAGGTGCTCGGCTGGCTGCGCGGCGGCCCCGTGCCCGCCAGTGCCTTCGACCGCGGAGCCCCGGCCGTTCTGCTGCCGCGCTCGTCGCCGCAGCACGAGCGCCCTCCGCCGCAGAAGCAGCAGGCACCCCAGACGCCGCGGCCGCGGCAGCCGCTGGTGCAGCAGTCGCGGCGGCCACCGCCGGCGCAGCGCGTCTTGGCCCGCAATTGCAGCGCGCCCGTCATGCCCCAGCGCGGCGAGGTGGAGCGGCCGCCACTGCCCGCCCTCGCCGAGGAGGCCGAGGGCGCCCGCGCCAAGTGCGACGTGCCCCACGGTGTCTCGAGCGCCGTGGGCGCCAGGTCCTGCCGCGCGACCCTGCCCGCGAGGATCGGGGGCGCGTAGTCTCCGGTGCCCAGCGGCTGCCTTGCTATTGGTAGCAGGGGAGGGACAACCCAGGCCTCCCACGTGAGGCCAGGGTGCGGTAGGTTCGCGTCGTGTCGACCGGCGGCGACCCTGCCGCCAGCGTTCAATTTTGACCAGTGCCGGGGACCCAGAATCGGTCCATGTTGAACAATCTGACGTTTCGCAAACGGCCGATCGTTCATGGTTGAACGATCCCCGCGGTGTCGGGAACCAACGTCGGGGTCGTCACGACGCGAATCTGCCCTAGATGGGGTCAGAGGATCGCGCCGCATCGCCGACGCATCGGCGATGCGGCTGGATGTTGAGCCCGATTTTCTCCACGCCGACGTCGCCGATGCCTCGCCGACGCGTCGGCGATGCATCGCCGATGCATCGGCGATGCATCGGCAATGCGGCGCAATCCTCCGACCCCATCTGCTCGCACCCCATCTCTGGGAGGCCTCCAGGGAAGTGGGGGAGGGGATGGCAGGGCCCTGCTGCAGGGGAACCTGGGAGGAACGGCTGGGCGTAGCTACCCAGACTCCATGCGTGTCAGAAGCCAGGCGAAGGCTGGCAAACCT